GATTAGCCCACAGCTACTTGCATTATAATTATCAGTCCATCCATGCTTTATCAGTATGCGAAAACCCAAACTCTATAACACCCTTTTGCCTGCTCTATCTCTTGTTTTTATGGCACCGGAGAGTTTGCCAGCTTTTTCCTATAGCTAGGCCAACACGATTAGCAAAAGCCTCAGGTGGGGACCCTGGATCCAGCTAGCATGACTGCACCTACCCATCCATCCTAACACCCTATAGCTAAACACCCTAAACACCCTAACACCCTAAAAACACGAGAAGAACAAGTGTAGGTAGGAGTACACATCAACCAAGCCGGGATCCGATCTGCCTGGATCGAACAGGCGACCTAAGGATATCAGCATCGCATCTTTCGATTACAGTCCTTCGCTCTTCCAGCTGAGCTAAGATCGGGAGCATGGTGCTCAACGCGTATCGAGACCTAGTTTCGATCCTGGGACCTCGGGGTTTTGAGTCCCGCACGCTTCCGCTGCGCCATCTCGATTCTCATGTGCACACCTACCTTCAACTCTCCCCAGAACTCGTGGATCGTGGATGCCCGACAAGCAGCTCCAACCAAACCGAGTAGAGCCTTTGCCCTAAGGATGAACCTATGGCATAATGTAACAATAATAATGGCCATGAATATCGCCCAACATGCAATAAGGGATGAAAGTGTCGAGGACAGCTAATTATCTTCAGAATTGTGTTATGTTATATATGTGTATGCAGCCCCTATCTAGAGATGTGTAGAGTTTTTGAATCCCTATATGTATTGCCTGTCTGTTCTGAAACCGACTTTGAGCATGTGATTTTGGCGTTGTCTACCATCCCTTCTTTCCTGGAGCCCACTTCAGATATGCTCTGGCACATGTCTTGTACTGTACAAGTTGTACTCTGTTTTGGCTTGGATTCAATGACAGCAAGGTTCATCCCATGGATTTGAAGTGTCATCATAATGTGCTGAGTGGAAATTGAGCCTGCGACATCACAACCACCAATCCTCTATCACAATGATAAACTTTTACAACTCCCCCCCTTGGACTTCAATGTTGTCCAGAATGTAACATATACATAANAGTGAGCACAAGGATGGGGACCACCTCTGGGAGCCAAGGGGGCCCATGGATGGTCAGAAGCCATTACGGTGGTGCTCAGCATGGATCTTGAGATCCTCTAGAGGATCTCCCGCTCCCCTGGGCTCAATGCGGCTGCGTGTGATGTACCCAGTCTGTGATGTCCAAGACCTCCTCGAGAAAACAATTGCAGCCGCTGCAATAGGTTGGCGACATACCACATACACATGGTATGTGCATGTCCAAATGTTTGTGCATGTACATGCACCTAGACACATGTGTTTATGTGTTTATGTGTGTGTGTGTGCGTGTGTGTGTGTCTGCTGGATACATGTATTCTAATCCAACGAGTGTATGGTGCTCCCTACAAATCTCTTAATCATGGAGCTATGGATTTGGTGCTAGCACCTTTGAATGCAAGCTAAGGTCGGTTATGATGGATGGAGAGCTGTACTTGCACTACTGCACTCACAGAGTGCACTAATAAGAAAACCTGGCATATGTAATCCTGTTTGTGGCCAGCCGTGTACACGCATGACGATGGATGACATATGTACACATATACATGCATACACACATGCTGTATTGCACTTTATTTGCAGTCCCTCACTTGTTTGCTTGTCTCCCTGCTGTGTGCGTGTGCCTTTGCATCTATTTGCACAGGACAGAGCACTTTAAAGTTCACTACACCATAGCATTCATTCCTTCCTGCCTGGGTGTTATTGGCATGCAACAATGCACCTAATACCCAGGACATACACTTGGACCTGCAACCAGCACACACGCGCTTCGGGCATGTGGGACAACAAATTCGAAGTAGGTATGGAGGATCGTGCACATGCATGGGGGCGTGCATGCCTGGGGGCATGCATGAAGGCAGTGAGATGCCTGTGGTTCACCGTAGAATGCTTCAAAACATACAAGTCACTGCTGCACCAGCCGAGAATCGAACTCGGGTCTGGTCCGTGGCAAGGACCTATGCTACCACTATACCACTGGTGCTCTGTAAGACACGGGAACGGCTCGAGTAAACACCACTGCACACAACTATATCAAGAGTTACACACATGCAGACATACAATGTGCACAGAATCACGTGTTCTATATACCTAGGTATATGGGTATGCCTCTCTGGTGCCCGTAATAGGTTTGTCTGAGGGAGCACCAGTGGTGTCGTGGTTGCATATATGGGTCCTTTGCCGCAGACTAGACTCGAGTTTATCCTCGACTGGTGCACAAAAACATGCATGTTTTGTAGCATTGTATGGTGGGCCGCTGGCTTCTCAGCATTGCCTTGATTATTGGATGTGCTCTATCCACCTAGTTTGTTGTTCCATATGCCTGAAGCACATGTGTGTTGGTAGCAGGTCCAGGTGCATGTCCGAGGTAATGTGTGCTTTGCCACATGCCAATAACACCCAGGCAGGAAGGGATGAATGCTCTGGCATATTGAACTGTAAAGTGCTCTGTCCTGCGCCATAATAGACGCAAAGACATAAGTACACAGCAGGGAGATGGGTGAATGAGTGAAGATTGCCAACCTGTATTAGGGCATG